GGGGCGCCGGGGCCCGCGGCTGGGGGGCCTGCCACACTGTCCTCTGGGACACCGAGATGGGCTGCTCAATGCTTAATCTCCCACCCGCACCTCAGGCAGTGAGAGCTCTGGGCAGCCTCAGCTCCCCCGCGTAGGACGTACCAAAGTCAACGTGCTCGGCCAGCTCCTCGGGGACAGCGTAGGGGAGTGGGGAGCGCACAACGCTGCGCTGGCCCTTCACGTACCGGTGGAACTCAGCCCCTGGCAGGAGGCGCTCGGCCGTGCTGCAACACAGGGACAGCCACCGTGCGAGGATTCGCGCCGCTGGGACAGCCGTCGGCGCGCCTGTCCAGCAGCATGCCTGTTCTCTGCCCTGCCTCCCGCACCCTTTCCACCCCGCTTGCTGCTGGGACGAGTCAGGGATGAGCTCCCACCAGCACAGCTGACCTCGTAAAGCAAAGAGCACCTTCCATACCTGTGCAATTCCCATCACCAAACACCGAACCAGAGCTCTGACGCTGCAGGGTCCCCTGCAACTCTATCCCCAGTCCTCCAGCAGGGACTCTGCGGCCCCACAGAAGGCAAGAGGAGGTGCGGGGCTGGCCCAAGCACCTAACGGATACGCATGCCTTGTTTCCAGTACTCCAGATCACCGGCTGTGACTCCCCCCAGCACCAGGACTGGGCACACAGGCAGCCAGCTCTTGGCTGCGGAGCCCTTACAGCCCAGGCAGAAACGCGGCTCAGCCCCCCGTCACCCGTCCCGCACCGCAGAGCCCTGGGGAAGGGGAAGTCGCAGCAGGCAGGCACAGGGTCTGGCTTCTCCTGTCTTTGTGGGAATGGCACGGCCACCACAGCGGGGCCCAGCCCCACTCAGGGCTCACCTCGCTGGCATGCGGCACTCCAGGAAATCAAGGGTGGTAACACTCCTGCAGTTCTCAACGCCATGGCCTTGCAGGCACTTCAGCACTGCCATGAGTGTGGCTGGAGACGGCTGGACAAGGTCCCGTCAGGTACCGGCCTGTGGGGCACAGAGAGGGTCAGAGCCCCCTGCCTGCAGGGCCTGATGGGGCCCGGCAGGGCTCAGGCGCACAGTCATTACCATATCGCGGCGAATGGGGGTCTGAGACGGCATCGACGAGCCGGGCAAGGCGCCCCATGCCTCCCTGCCGGAGGGCAAAGGTCAGCTGCACTTCGTGGCCGGGGTTCACACGGCCGGCATGGGTCCAGCCGGGGGGCACGCTGCGGGCAGGCTGTGAGGGCAGGCGG